TCCAATATTCCTTCAGTTTCCCGTCGATCCTACAGATCTAAACACGGGCATCTCCTTCAACATGGCGACATAACGCTAAAGATACAGCGAAAGTCTGTAATTCTACAACATGTAATTTGATTTTTTAGTATATAAGCTGTATACCAGGACCACAGTCTAGGAGACGTTATCTATGGCTCTTCTCTGAAAGCTTTATCAAAATGTAGTTATTTAAGCTACATAAGTTTATGTTACCTCCCGAGTCACCTCTCAATCGAGATGGAGAAAGTTGTTTAATTAAAAGCAAAACCAGGCACCTTCATATTTCTAATATGGCATCCTAAAATACACAAAGTTGCAAAGATAGATGAATGGATACATGGGAAGGGAGGGAGAGGGAGGGAGAGAGAGAGAGAGAGAGAGAGAGAGAGAGAGAGAGAGAGAGAGAGAGAGAGAGAGAGAGAGAGAGAGAGAGAGAGAGAAGAGAGAGAGATGAAAGCAAAGAGAATATGTGTGTGAATTTTATGTCATATGATGTATAAAGTGATTTCAAATCTTCACCTCTATTGCATGTGACTGATCACACAATGCATATACCACCGTAATGGTATCCCTGAACAATCAACTCTCTAATAGTGATTACAAATGTATAAGGTATTGGGCCAATAATTATCAGTGATGTTCATATGATAACCCTGAAATTCACACACACACTAAGAAGAATTTGGGCTATAAAGTGAACGAAAAAGAGAAAGTGAAGCTAACGGAAGCAGAAGATAGAAATGAGGCGCTTGAAGTCAAGGTAGACAACCTGGTAGCAGAATGTTTGAAAATACGTGAAGAAAACGTAAATTTGAGGGGATTGGTGGATAATTTGCGCAGTAGAGAGAAAATGAAAAGTCTGACATGAAAATCAAAGAACTGAAGGAAAAGGTGGAAGAAGCAGAAACCAGGATTGGCAACTGTAGTCAAATCGTGGCCAAGAATCTGCAAGTACAGGAAACTGTTAATCAAATTGAAAGCAATTTGTCAAGCAGCCAGTCTCAAATAATGAAAGAGGCAACAAAGATGACATCTACATGTGCCGGTGTATCTAAAGTAAAGAAAACTGTAAATGAAATGGGGAAAAAAGTTAGAAAAAGACATCAAGATCAGAAAGGAAGAAATAAAAACACGGCTTGCAGAAACGGTAAAGAAAAATGAATTAAGTCACATTTTGGGCAACACGCAATTAATATTGCAACTTTGGCTGATGTAAATAAGGACATAGTAATATTGCAAGATGGAGAAAAAGTTGTAGAAGATGGAACCTAACGATTCAACGTAGATAAGCAATTCATTGTCAATATTCAATTTTCGAAGCAGAATATAATAGCCCACAGGAGGTTAGGATTATTCTAAGAGATAGATGATAGATAGATAGAGGGAAAGAAACCCCCTTTAAAGGTGACATTCAACAATAAGCAAATGATAATTGATGTAATGAAAAGGCTAAAGTCCTGGCCACACACAAAGAATATAAGAAATTCTACATAAAAGAAGATATGACCAAATATGACAGAGAAATGCAGCAGAAAAAAGGGAAGAGGTAAAAAACAAAAACAAACAAAAGATTAAAGAAAAAAAACTTGTTCATTTGGATAGAGGGAAAGAAACCCCCTTTAAAGGTGACATTCTTAAATAAGCAAATGATAACTGATGTAATAAAAAGGCTAAAGAATATAAGAAATTCTACATAAAAGAAGATATGACCAAATATGACAGAGAAATGAAGCAGAAAAAAATGAACGAGGTAAAAAACAAAAACAAACAAAAGATTACAGAAAAAAAACTTGTTAATTTGGAGGGTGAGAGGCCTCCAAGCAACACAAGTTTACTATCGAAACCAAAATATGGAAACAGACAATCATTAGCCTTGCAGCCAAAAAGGGACAACGAAAGATTATATAGAAATATTTTTTACAAATATATATGATTTATGTTTGAAATTACTAGAACTAGATACTAGTATTGAAAGCAATACACCAGATGTAATATGCATCACTGAATCCAAACTGGATCCCTCCGTAAACATTAGGACTCAGAGAATACAATATTTGGAGAAAAGATAGGGCAAATGGAAATGGAGGGGGGCGGGGGATATTAGCCAGGAAAATAATTATCATAAAGGAGATAGAGATTTAGCAAGATCCCATAGTAGATCTAATGGCAATTGAGATAGAAAGGAACGGAGTAAATATAATAATAACCACAATGTACATGCCACCTCATACATCGGTATGGTCACAAGAAACTTACCAGAAACTTATTCAAGAAACGTTAAAGAGCCTGAAAGAAGTGCTACAACTTACGGGAATTAATAAAAAAAAAAAAAAAAATCTTGTAACAGGGGATTTTAATAACAAAATTGACTGGGAAATTTTCGATCCCAGAGATCAGCCAGATTCGTAGAATTCAAAATTACCAGAAGTCATAAATGAATTTTGTGTCCTCCAGAATGTAACAGATCATACCAGGATAAAAGGGCTAGGTATACCATCCATGCTTGACCTTATATTTACAAAGTATAAAGTTGACATTAAGGATATGGAGTACCGCCCTCCTCTAGGAAAAAAATGTTCAAGTAATAATTAAGTTGAAATATTGTCTGTTACGGTAAAAAATAATCTTCATAAGTTAGGAAAGAAAGGGGAAGTATAATTACAAGAGAGGTGATTATAGAAGCCCTAAAGATTTCTTTGATGTCATAAACTGGAATACCCTCCTGGACGAAGAGAACCTTGATATGCAATATTTTAAATAAAGTAAATAAAGTCTATAAACAAGGAGTAGAAAAAATTGTATCAAGATTCAAAACTGAAACAAGAAATGGTCAAACGTAGTTCAATGATAAATGCAAGAAAATGAGAGAACACAGAATAGAGATCAAATTAGCGACATCAAAAACAAATAATATCATTTATACTAAGGAAGAGGAAATGTGATGTGAAATCCTTAATGTGAAATTTCAATCATACTTTGAAATAGCAAGTAACCGTACAAACGTAAATTAGAATATTGAAATCATCACACTTGAAAAGAATTAAATAAAAGACCTACGAGACTAAAGCAGAGGGATGAGATATCTAACTGGGTTCTGGGGAATGTGCCGAATATTGTTAATATTCCAAAATTCAGTGAGAGAAGGAAAACTACCAAAAAAGTGGAAACTTGCCAATGTTAAACCTGTATATAAGAACGGCGACAAACAAAACCCTCTAAATTATAGACCAGTATCGTTACCTAGTATACAAGCTGTTAGAAAGGATAATTGGGAAACAGTGGATTGAAGTACTTGAAAAACACGATATATCAAATAAACAATTTGGTTTTAGGGATGGAAGGTCATGTGTAACAAGTCTCCTCTGTTGCTATGATAGAATTTCTGAAGTATTACAAGAAAGAGACAGCTGCGAGGATTGTGTATACTTAGGCTTTAAGAAGGCTTTTATTAAGGTGTCTCATAAAAAAGACTATTATGGAAATTAGAACACCTAGGTGGAGTGAAGGGCAAACTCCTCGAATGGAATGGAATGAAAGACAGATGAGAACCGTAATTAGAGGGAAGCACTCTACATGGCGACGAGTAATTAGTTTGAGTACCTCAAGGATCGGTCTTGGCGCCGATTATGTTTACTCTTTTCATAGATGATTTAGGGTCAAACATAAGCCCAGACGACACGAAAAAAAAGAAAAAACAATGTCTCATACCAATGCCTCCAAAGTTACATCGAGAACTTATTCATTTGGAGCTGTACATGAAAATGGAATTTAAAGCCAATAAATGCCATGTGGTCATGTTCGAAGAAAGTAAAAATCGTCCATTATACTAATAAAAGAAAGGAGACGTAATATTAAACCAAGCAGATAAAGAAAAAGACATTGAAATAATCACAAACAGAAGCCCAAATAACCATATAAATGACAAGGCTCATAAAATGCTAGGGTTGATTACCAACATGAAGAGGACATTCGTGTATGTGGACGAAGGCATGGTAAAGAAGATCATTACATCCACACTTAAAAAGTCCACACTTAAAAAGAGATATAGATAAACTAGAAAGAGTTCAAAGAGCCGCCACAAAATGGGCACTTACTCTAAGAGATATGAGCTACGAAGAAAGACTTCAGAAAATAGGTCTTACTACTTTGGAAGGAAGAAGAAAAAGAGGTGACTTAATAATGATGTTCAACTATATTACAGGAAGAGTAAAGTTAGACAAAGATTAGTCAAAGGACGGGAGGACACAGCAAAAGTTGAAAGTAAAAAGAAGCAAGAAAGATGTCCCAAAGAGAACTATTGAAACATGGAACAAATCTTCCAAATAACGTTGAGTGTGTCAAAAATGTGCATCAATTTAAATAGTTATATGATGATTTAAATATAGCAGACGGGACCATCTGAGCTTAGCTCGTCTCCCGCATTGAAACAACTAAGTAAGAATAACCAGGCTACAACACACACACACACACACACACACACACACACACACACACACACACACACACACATATATATATATATATATATATATATATATATATATATATATATATATATATATATATATATATACATATATATATATATATATATATATATATATATATATATATATATATATATATATATATATATATATATATATATGGGTACGTAACTTCAGAAGAAAATAATGAGTGCAAAATAAGTTAAAATAACACGTTACAACCATATTTAGAACAATAAAATAGATACACCTACAAAAATTACATTTTCTATATCGATTATGAATGGCTTTCGTTTTCTTAGGAAGTATGATCGGGCAAACTATGTTATATATTCTGGATTACAAATAAAGAAGAATATGACTCTGGTTTTAATAATCTTTCCGAAAATAATATTAATTCATCTATTCATCCACAATTTATGGCAACAGTAATATATATCGAAAAGGCAAAAAGACATATACCACTCTCCTAAACAATCAACGAGATAACAATACACCTTGAAACACGTGGAGGCGTTATCAGTACGTCTGTGTAATAACGTGTTATAGATAATATAGTTAATAAAGACAGCAAATTCATGACAGAAACACTTAATGCATCGTATATAATTTATATATATAATAGATACATTAGTTGTATTGAAATAAGTTAGAGGTAGTGTGTATATATTGATCTAGTAGATGTATTAAAGGGATTATATACCCTGATTATATACCTGATTATGTTATAGATACATTGCCTGTCCTATGGATGTATTCTTTATTATTTTAAGGTGTTATCAGGAAGGTCCAAATTTAAAAGAGTTCATGAGCTTGCCTAATCTTGACAGACTCGTATTCTTAATTAACTACAGTGAATATAAAAGAAACCAGAATGATAATGCCGTCTTGGAATGATGTATTGTATATGTATGGTATATATTGAAGTTAGGCTATTGGCTTTTTCGGGCTTCATTGTGGTTATAGAGAGTAATGTGTAGATGGCCTCTGCGTGAGTACCGCTGGGCATGTTTATAGTCTGTTAAAGGCCAAACTAACTCTTCCGTACATATTCCGTACATATTCTTACATATTCCGTACATTTTCTTCCGTACATATTCTTACATATTCCGTACATATTCTTCCATACATATTCTGTAGAGCTCCTCGGAAAATTGCTTTTGAATGAAAAATAAGTCCAAGCTCTCGATATGTGGATACAGGTTTGGCTGCCTTTGCTGAAGGGTGGAAATGGGATGGCCATGGCAGTCTCTAATGCGTTGGTATTATAATTGCAGGTCTTTCCCCGCAGATCGCAGTGAGTTTCTAGGATTTAGATTTCAAACGGCAGTTCAGTTATAAGGAAAGAGTCCAATTTGACAGTCTTTGTGGACCTCTGAACATTTACAGGTGTGTGTTTTTCCTTTTTTTTCTATTTTTAATGTAGGTTACAATCATGGGATTCGTGGATAATAAATTTGGTGTGAAAAAAAGATTGGCAAATAAATTCTTCATGAATCTTTATTGTGAGAGCTTATTTTGAGATGTGGAAGAACATTGTAGTTTATATATGTCCTGTCAGTACAAATATAATTTTTTTTAATAGTCCTAAAGTAAGAATAAAATATATTTATGTATATTTGATCAGGTGAATATCTGCCTTAACAAGTTCAATCACAGAAAAAAAGTATCTAATCATAAAAATTTCAGGAAAGAATGGCAGGTTCAGAACCAAAAGACGCAGAAAACCGCACAATGAAAAGTGACAGATATGAGTCCTTTGTTCCTTCTGTACAACTGACACAGGGGCTTGATGTAAGGTAGGAATTACTGTTTCATATTATTTGATTATGAATTAAACTGATTGTAGTGTGATAATATGAATATTTGTTGATGATTGATAATTAACATTTATGCTTTTAGTGTCTTTAGGAATATGGCTGTACAATAAAAGTATTAATGTAAAGATGTAGTAGCTATTTACTTAATGGTGATTATTTTCTTTAGTTTAGGGTTTTCTGTGGGTAATGTTATTCATCTATTTTTCATATGATTTTTGTTATTTATTCATATATCTGCAGTCATTTCTTATGAGTCCCAGAGAAAAATCAATAGGGTCACAGCAATTTATATAATTTTTTTATTGTGAGTCTTGATGTAAGGAAAAGATATATCCAACAAGTTTATCATATGGAATTTGAAATGCTGAATATAAAATGATGAATATGAATTAAAGATGAATCATATTTCCAGGGAAATTTGCTCAGAAACTGGAGCATCTTTTGAAATCTCAGAAGAACAGCTCATGGACGAGGAAAAGGTCGACTGGCAAGAGAACTTTTTTGACGACGAGGAACTTGTCAAGAGCCTTAGACTTGGAGCTGGAAATGGGATTTTCGAAGATGAGGAATCAGGTGAGGAGTAAGGACTGTGTCTTTATGAGATTTCATTTATTATTATTATTTTTTTTCTATTGATTTAATTAGTAATTTAATATTTCATGTGCAAATGTTGAGAGCAGATTAAAGGCATAAGATGTCACTAATGCTTTTGTTTCATATATATATATATATATATATATATATATATATATATATATATATATATATATATATGATTTAAGTATTTTAGCCTTCATTTTGTATTTCAGTCCCCTATGCCAGATATGTACATATATAAATATATATATATAAATATATATATATATATATATATATATATATATATATATATATATATATATATATATATATATATATATATATATATATATATATATATATATATATATATATATATATATATATATATATATATATATATATATATATATATATATATATATCTATATATATCTATATATATCTATATATATCTATATATATATCTATATATATATATATATATATATATATATATATATATATATATATATATATATATATATATATATATATACATATATATATATATATATATATATATACATATATATATATATATATATATATATACATATATATATATATATATATATATATATATATATATATATATATATATATATATATATATATATATATATATATATACATATTTATATGTGCTTTCCAGAATTTGATTATTTAGACTATTTATCAAATATTGAAAATGACAATCTAAATTCATAGAAAGTTATTTGATTGTCAACAAATTTGTAGAACTGAACAGAAAGTGATTTGCTGTTTGCAGAAACTTATCTAGATTAGCAGATTTTTGTTTCATGTTTATTGGTTGTTATAACTATATGAATGTTAGGGAAAATGGATGGTTCTTTTCTTCCTTTCCTTTAAATTCCTTTTCTTTTTATGCTTTGGAAATTTCTTCTGCTTCTTTTCTGTTCTTTCTTTCTGATCTATTCTTTCTCTTATTTTTCTTTCTGCTTTTCCATTTTCACTATTTTTCTTTTTGCTTATACTTTTTTTCATTCTGCTTTCTTTCTCTCTCTCTTCTTTCTTTCTTTCTCTCTCTCTTCTTTCTTTCTTTTTAAGATTTATATCCTATTATCTTCTCTAGATAGAATTAACTTAATCATGAGATAGAGTATATTGAAGATTTTTTTTTATGAATTTTAGGTCTCATTCTTTTTAGATTTTTTTCTATAATTTTTTGTATGTTATCAGTACATATCTCTTTGGATGCTCTTCAGATAGTGTTAAGGTGTATTGTGTGTGGGTAAATGTACTCAGAAAGCATAAAACAAAAGTCAATGTATATTCACTGTATTCAATGAAGCATGGTTAATTGATATTATATTCACTTTAAGTGAAACAATAGTATATTTTTGTCTTCCAATCAGTGAAGCTCAAAATCATATTTATTTCAAGTAAACTATTTAACAAAGCATTGGCTAAACCTGTCAGTATATTCAGACAATTTAACAAAACTTGGGATGAATCAGCTTAAGAAACTTACTGTTTTAGATTATTTGATCATTGATAGTCTTTATTTCCCCAGCTTCAGAAGAGGAAGGAGAGCCATTTCGAAAACTGGCTCGAAGAATGGAAGACATGACAGGCGATGGTGGCGTGTTGAAGATGGTAAGAAGATTTGATAGGTGTTTAATGCTCATAGGACAGGATAGGGCATTTGTCTTTTTCAATTGCATATGTGAACATTGTAAATTTCATCCTAAATAGAAGTTGAAATTATCTATATTATTCATAATCCAAGTTAGAAAGATCAGAAATGATAATGGATGGTTAAATTCTATTTAAAACTGGGAGGAGTCATGTGCTCCATAACTGGGCAATTTTATTCACAATAGGTGGGAAGGTTAAATAGTATTGGGGAAATGACAATCTATTTTTGTTATTTACTTTTCTCCCACTGTAACATAAGGGAGATCAAGTGTTAACAAAACCATTACTACAAATTTCCATTTCATTTCAGTCATGCACTCATCTTTCTCCCCACTTTTCTCCCTCATAACCAGACTGTGCAGCCAGGTATCGGTGGAGACATCCCAGACAATGCGACAGTCATATTCCACTATAGTGCATTCCTCGAATACCTTGATGAACCCTTTGACTCCTCATATTTGCGCAAGAAACCTGAGAAGAACAAGATTGACAGTGGAAACATAATTCCAGGGCTAAATGTGGCTATTAAGACAATGAGGAAACGTGAGACAGCTCGGTTTCTCATCAGGCCAGAATATGGATATGGAAAGGTAGGCAGAGAGAGATATTTATGAGGTGTTGGGGATTCAGCATGTTTAACCCATTAGGTCTGAAGATTTAAGGGCATTAGGTTTACATAAGTGGCCACTCTGCTGGGTGTGCTTCTTGTAGGCAGGGCACACTTAAACACTTGTGTGTGGTGACGAGACTCCATGTCTCCTTTTTGCAATATTATTTTCTCTTTCCAATTTCTATATTTGTCATTAGATTTGCTTTATCCTGGTGATAATAGACCTTTTTCCTTGCACAAGCTCCATATCATGTCTCTAGGTATTCCATAACCCAGTGAAATAATAATAATAATGATAAGTAATACTTTGTTATTTGTGTCATTTGATTTTTTTTGTAATAATCACTTTCTGTAATACAACCTGTGCTACCAGTCACAGGGATAGGTTCCTGAGAATGGAAATAGTGCCCTCCCTGGAGCCTGTGCTCTTCCAGCCATGGCTCATGGACAATTATCAATGGAAATAATGCAAAGTAATACAGATTTTTCCATGGTGGCATGTTCATGCCTCTCAAGCTGGATTGTAGGGATTAATATTGTTTGGGATTTTATAAGACCAAGTGAATTTGGCAAATATACACTTTATTGCTGCCCTGTTTTCAGTGATGTAGGCAGTTTGCATTTGCAGGATTTCCAGGATTGAGTTAGTCCTTTAAATTTGTAATAACATAGGCATCACCATAACTTCAGTTGGGCATATTTTGAATATAGTATAAGGTTTTCCTTGTGTTCCATATCTGAAGATTAACTTCCAGTAGGTTAGACTAATTAGCTTATCCATGACTGTCCCAACTTTAGCAAACAGAGGTTTACAAAAACATTTTAAAAATATGTGTATATGAAATTATCTGTCAATCTCTAAGGAATGTTCTGATATGTGACCTTTCATGATCAGTATACATATATACAGGATTTTACATGCCACCATCAGTTTTGCATTCAAAATGAAGCTCTATTGTTATGTCACTGTTTTCAGATCACTTGTAATTAGTTAAAAGGAAAATTAGCTAGCAGGAGCCATTGGTCATAACTGGCAGGTAAGAGGTTAATTGATAGAATAAATGTTCAATTTTATTATTTTTTGGTGGTTTATATAAACATCTTTGCAAATGAAACATCTGTCTTCTATTACGCTATAGCAGTTAAAGCAGATTTGAAAACTAAAATAGCAGTTTTGGGTATGCTTTTGAAGTTGATTGTGCCTTTTCCATTGAAGATGACTAGAAAAAATATGCAAATTTGTAGTAGACTATAAGATTTTGCAAGTAGGAGTTCACAGCCCTTCCTCCCTTTTATAGTGCCACTGTGTTCAGTATCTCTTATTTATTCATTTTGATTGATTAATTTTATATTATATATTTTCAAGTTATATGCACAGCACTGAAGGCAATTCTGGTAATTATTATTGGATTATAAAAGGCAAAAGTGTGCAGATATAGATGTAACTTCTCAGGATATTACATACAAAGGATGAGCAATCCCATAGTTAATATAAATAATAAATATTTTTTTCCCATATGTATAAGTGAAGTTTCTTTTTGTTTTCAATGAATTGCCATTATATATGAAGAATGGTGACTCAAAAAGTGATGAAATCTGAAAGAAGAATGAATATATGGGAAGAAGAGGGAGGGACTAGTCTTGAAATCTCCAGATATTGGAGACAGCAGAGACTGTAACCTCTAGGAAGTTTTTGCATCAGCATGACAAACTATGGTTTTGCCATGCACTGCTGTTCTTTTTTCTGAAAGGACATTGAATGCTATTTTCTGAAATCAGACATTATGGATAAGTGTCAAGTCCAGGTGACCTAGGCTGGTCTTGTTGGCCTGCTTAAGACATTTATTTTTCACTGTGGTGGATGATTTGACAATATGTTTGAATACCCATCAGGAGCAATAAGCACTTTCACTGTTGTCAAGCATGGTAAAATATCATTCATAATATGAAAAGTTTAAGATGCAACTTTTTTCATCTGATTTTAAGTGCAAATACTAATATAGTTGTTGTACCCTTTTTAACATGAGAAAAAGAAAGAAACCTCATACTGTATTTGGAAATGTCAAATAATCAAGTGTTTACAGCAGGCTTTGTGGCACTAGTTGCTTTTCATAGGTAGCTACTGGTGTGTTCTTCTTTTGGTTTTCCATGGACTGTCAGATTCCCATTCAAAATTATCATCAACATATTTTTTTCAATATATTTTTTAAAGAAAAAAAAAAAAATTCTTAGCATTCATTACTTAATTTCCATTCAGATGCTGTTTTTCTCATTTTATGTCAGGTTTATTTGAGATATGTGTCAGTTGTAGATAAATGAAATATTTTCCAAACATCAGTGAATTTTGCAGACATGTATGAGACACTAACTAATGGTGATTAAGACAATGTGCAATGGATTGATTTCCTAATTACTAACTGCTAATAGAAAACTTTTGTCTTTTTTCATGTCTTTACTGTGACTTTACATTACTAGTAAGTAAATTTATACATAGTGAGCAGAGTGTAAAAGTTTTTCATTTTGAATTCTCATAAATAAAACTACTCTCTCCCATAATTTTGTACTCTCTTTTTCTCTTCTAATTTAGAGTGGCATTGATATATAGTAGACCTTGGAATTGAATTATTACAAATATTATTTCATTTGGAAGTAATCTGCAGTATACTGGTGTTTGATACCATGGTCTCATTTCAATAATTTTTTGTATTTGATTATCTTCTATGTCTAACAATTGCATACAATTAACATTTAATTTTTTTTATCACAGTTAGGATGCCCACCTAGGATACCAGGTAATGAGACACTGTTGTATGAGGTGTACATCGTTAATGTCATTGATGATGCTGCAGCTGATGCTTACGATGAACTTGATGAAAAGATGCAGACTAACATGACTTTTGAGCAGAGGCTGGAAGCGGCTCGAGGATTCCATCGCAAGGTTTGAAGTCTCAGGATTGTTTTCTTTTTGCTCATATTTGTTTGTTCTAGGGTGCGTGAAGGTAGTTTAGCTTGTTGAATATGATGTGTAGTATTTATAGTATTTTTAAAATCTTGTCTTTTAAGATGTATGTTTTTTTTGTTTGTTTTTTTTTCAACTACAAAAACATTTTTAAGGTTTTGCTGTAAATACGTTCAGAAATAAGGCAGGTTTTATTAAGTTCCAATTTAGAATGGAATAGATAGCTATGTCTATAGATAGGTTGATGAATAAAGATGCATTCAAAGAGATAAACAAAGACATATAAATTGATAGGAGTATATAGATATTTTTCTCGGTACATCAAAGGGCAACAACCACTTTAAAGAAGGGTACTTGAAAGCAGCCAAGGACTGCTACCTCCGAGCTGCCTGGATCATGGAGGACGCAAGACTTAAGAACGAGGCAGAGGAACGACAGAGAACTTCCTTGTTGATGAAGATGCGGAGTAATTTGGCACAGGTCGGGATGTGTGTGTTTCAGTGTGTGTTTGTACTCTATGTCTTCTTATTATGTGAGAAAATTTTACAAATGTAAAGTGGCATGAATTAGATTACATATCTTTTCCAACCAAGAGGTTTTACTTTGTCTTTCCTTTAAGACAAGATATATACTTTTCTTATACTGATCTTTTTCAGCCATTAGGTTATGCTGCACCATTCCTATAAACTTTTCACTTTATTGAAGTTAATGATGTTTATTTAGAAATGAATAAATAGATGAAAAAATAATAGATAAATAAAATCTATATCTAATCCCCTAGGTTTATCTGGACTTGAAGGAGCCAGCAAGAGCCTGTACCCAATGTAAATTAGGGTTTGAAGTTGCAGCTGTAGGCCTTTGCTCAGAGGATGTTATGGCTAAGCTGTACTTTAGGTAACTGGATTATTATTGTTATTTTTTCTTTCTTTCTTTTCTTTTCTTTCCTTAAAATTAGTTATGAAAAGAAAAATTTTGGTAAATAAGGATGGTCACCATGACATATAGAAAATAACAGTTGAAGTGTTGTTGTTGTGTCCTTGATTTTTCCGTTTAACCTATTTGCAATGGGCATGTCACGTATCCGTGGCATACCCACTGTGAGTTTACTTGTTTAATTGTTTTTACACATAGATGGCTACACTTGTACTAAATCATCGGTGAGCCATTTACGAGTACTTCCTGTCTCACCCGTTTACCCTTTTCTTTAATTTACAAAAATGTTTTAAGTTATCTTATTTTGCTATTACTAATGTTTATAACATAGTAATTATAATGTTTATAATAAAAATAACACCATCGATATTCATAGCACTAGTGAAAAATACATTTTCCTGCTAATTCAAGGTGAAATCAGGTAAGGCAGAGCCATTT